GCCCAGGCGGAGGGAGTGCCCAGGCGGAGGGGCGCGCTGCTGCGGCTGCCTCGGCGGAAGATGGCTGCCGAAGAGGTGGCCGACACTCAGCTGATGCTTGGAGTCGGGCTGATCGGTGAGGACGCAAGCGCGCTTCCCCGCAGGCCCTCACGGCAGTTCCGCCTCCACCTCTGCCTGGGCCAGGGGCGCCGCCCGCGGGGTGGAGGGCGCGGCCCCCTCCGTGTTGGGCCTGGGCTGGGCAGTAGCTGGGCCCGGCCTTCTCCTCGCGTCCGCCTGCGGCCCCGCTTGGGGCCCGCCCAGGCCGGGCAGCGGGGCGCAGGGACCTGCCAGGGCCTCCCAGGTCCCGGAGAGGAGTTCCTCCCAAACCCCTTAGGCCGCAGACGAACCCGGACGTGTAGGGTGACCGAGCTCTCACGACTGCTAGGGGTCCGCTGCGCAAGGAACCGGGCTGGGCCGAGAGCCGCTTGGGGGCCTCACGGCGGGGAGGCAGCAGGGCCGAAGTTCCTCAGAGCGTGAGAAAGACAGGCAAGACTGCCCTCGCAGCCCCCTGCTGCGCGAATGTTGTGATCGAGTGGTTCTAGACATGGTGGCTATCTGTGCAGGCGCAGGTGCAGCTCATTGTGTATGGATTATCCCTGTTTAACGCTCACCTCGGCTCCAGGGGGTGTGGGTAATGTTTGATGCCCACTTTTCGGAGGAGCAGACGGAGGCCCAGAGTGTTATTTGTGCACGGACGCATGCTGGGAAGTGGCGGAGCCCAGACTGGGACCCTTGCATTCTAGATCCAGAACCCAACTCATCGAAGGGTTCCTGCATTATATGGTAGAGTACGTGCACGTAGCAGGGCTGTCTGTATAATCACATTGAGTGGGATCCCGGTTAGTTTTGAGGGGTTAATGGATGAGGAAGTGCTTTGGGATCTTTGGGCAGCCCAGAATGTGTGCCTGAGCCGGGTGCAATGTTTCAGGCAGGGTTGGGTGTTTCAAGAAACCATTCATTCGATAGGCGACAGCGGGCACGGATGCTTAAATGAACTGTCTGTTCCCTGCGTGCCATTGCCTTTTCAAAAAGTATTATTCTCGAGATTTTCACAGACCCCCTAAACACTCTGTTTCCTTAGTATACAAGAACATTGGTTTTAGGAAAACTGGCGAAAAATGCTGATTGCTTTTCAGTGTCTGAAAGGAGTACATTTATCTGGAAACGGCTTCTCGTAGATTTCTAATGTGATTTTTAAACTGCTTCAAAGCAAAATCTAAGTACTTCAGGGATATGAGTCCTGTTTGAAGGTACTTCTGAATTAAGACTGAGTTAAACTCTGACTTTATCTGGTAGCAGTGGAACAAAAAATAACTTGTAATCATATTTTCAATTCAGCATGATTTTTGCTTTTTTATATTGATATGCATTTTAAAGGAATTTGCTTGAAAATCATCGGGGGCTCCTCCCCCTTATGATACAAGGAGGGCCAGGTGTTGATAATTGCTGAAATGAGTAATGGAGGAGGGAGAATTTTATGATGTTCTCTGCTTTTTTATACACTTGATTTTTCCATAATTAAAGTTCGTTTTTAAGTCTATTGATCAAAATCTAGATTCTTACTGCTGTATGTGCAGTAACTTTCTCTTTTGCCTGGAGTTTTTATTAGTCAATTGCTTCTGTTTTGTTATCGAGGTGTTTACTTTGATGATGAAACTACATATATGACTGAATAACCTTTATTATTATTATTGAAATTTTAAATACAGAATTTGCGCACTCCATATGTAACATTATTTACTAAAATTCAAGGTCAGGAGAGCTACGTAATTTGACCAGTAGAGGTAGGTGGGAATTAGGGGTCTCACACGCTCCGGGTTGCTTTGTAAAATGGGATGTTAAAAGTGATTCCACTAAGTGCTTCTGAGTAACCAATCAATTCACTTCCTTGCTGCTGTTTGACATTCTCACAGTGACCATCTTTCCACCGTAGAAAAGGACACAAATGGAGAAGTTCTGTGGGTGTGGTGTTATCCTTCCACAACAGCTACGTTAAGGAATCTGCTGCTGAGAAAATGCTGCCTTACGGATGAAAACAAACTTCTCCATCCCTTTGTCTTTGGTCAGTACAGAAGAACATGGTTTTATATCACAACAGTTGAAGTTCCAGATTCTTCCGTTTTGAAAAAGGTATGAAAACATAAAGGTCAAAAAACCAAAAATATTTATAAAGTGATGTAAGGTTATTGCAGTAACTCTTAGCTTTAGACTTTATCATGCACCGTACACTTTTGAAAGACGTTAAATATGATTTTCATTGAGAATGTTCTCTTTCATGTTTCACTCTCATTTGTCCTATAAGTTTTAATTGGTATAATATGGCCGACCCCATGGTTAGTATAGTGAAGCCTTTTTCAGGTTATACTCTGATGGAGTAGAGATGTAAGAGTAGTTTCAAAGTCATGACTGATTATAAGTGGGAAAAAGTATTTTTTCCATAATTAAAAGCTATTTTAGAGGGTATAATTATCCTTGATATGGTTAAGAAAACTTTTTAAAATTTGCTCGTGGATGGTAAAGCTATACTAAAGAGGAGGAAGGATAATTAAGAAAACTCATGTGTTCGGTAGGTTTTTTGTGTGTGTCATTTGATATGAACAATATCAATGTGACATGTTGAAAACCAATATGTGGTCATTGTGGACTTTAATCTCAAACAACCAGCAAGTTTTTAAAGGAAAAACTACTGGAGAGAACAATTTAGAAACCGTTAGAGGTTTAAAACAGAAAAAGAGATTCATAATTAGAAAATACAAATTTGCAAAATGATAGTTTTCAATGTGTTATAAAATCTTTGGTTTATGTACATTAAGTTCTTGCCGAAAAGTGTTAATATATCCTTAGGTAGATTTATCTACCTTTTACACTACAAACTGCCAAATTATAGCAACATCGATTTCAAATCTGTTTTTCAGATTTGAAAAATAACAAAATTTAGAGAACTTATACTTCAAAATATGATTTTCAAAATATATTTCTTAAATGCTTTGCTTTTATAAAATTCTGAAATTTGTCTCATTAATAGGAATAATAGGTATATGATTATCAGAAATTTGCATTTATAATAATAAAGGCATATACATAAGTGAAGCTTATTATAACAGTGCCCTTTAGATTACATAGCATCCTACAGAGAATTGACTATTTCAGGAACTGTAAAATTTTAATGTAAGAATTTTACTGAGATATATTTTTGTTGTTTTCCATCTTCCTGTTTCACTAATGAAAAATAGTTACTAGCTTGGTAGATCCGATATAGCATTCCTAGCTCTGCTTTGATGAGGTTAGGGGATTTTAAATAAAAATTCATTTTTTTGATATTTGAAATATTTTTTTGAAAAAAATTCTAACTAAAAGTATTATTCTAATGTAGGAAATTAAATATATGTATAATGTTTTATATGTGTGTACATACATATAAAAATATAAATAAGCAAATGAGGACTTCATTATATTTTGGTCTTTTCCTTAATGCTGCTGTGTCTTGTATAAGAAATTTGTTAGAATATAGTGATAAAAATTATTACATTAAAGTGTATTTAAAAAGTGTACTTTTTTGTTTCTTTTGGACAGGTGACTCATTTTTCTATTGTTCTGACCGCCAAAGATTTTAATCCAGAGAAATATGCCGCCTTCACTAGGATATTGTGTAGGTCTGTATGAAAAGTGTATTAACTGCTAATATACAAAAATGAAGATCTTACTCTATAGTAACAGAGCAGATTTCTATACTGAAGAAGCAAATTTCAGTCGTCTGTCTCCCCAACTTAATCTCTACTGGCCCTTCAGAGACCGTTTCATAAAGAGGAACCTTGTCTTCTGCTTTGGCGATACTGCTCCGCTTATTTGGGCAGATGGTTGAGAGAGGAGAGAAAGCAGTTTGCACAACTGTCGTAGGTCTTGGGTGTTTGGAGTCACTTGCCACTTCTGGTCTGTTCTGCTCACTCTCAATCTAGAGCTCCTTAGCAGGATAGGATGGCTCAGTGCTTTATGAAGTGCTGAGTTGGTTCATGTGTGTCGGTCCATGTGTAAGAGCCATTTTGGAGAAAGTTAATGAGCATTTTGAATTGTGCTAAAGCGCAGGAGAACATTTCTTAGCTGGAATGCTGAGGAGCTGAAAAACGGATTAATTGGTTAGTCATGATTCAAGTAGACTCCTTTAGTTTCATCCCAGCTGTTGAAAAAATTTATCCTAAATACACCGGTCTACTTTCTTGCCTCTGTAAGTATATCTAATTGCCTTCATGCAATCTTTCTTACCTGTTAGGGACATTGTCTTTGTCTATAATGAAGACTTTTGCAGGGTTTTAGTTTAGTTTTGTTTTTTAAAAACTATTGTTACTAGATAAACGATTGCCTTTTTTGCCATGTATATGCATACACATACAATATAGTCTAAGAATACCTTCTCATTTACCTAAGGGTTTCAGTTAGGTTGTATTTTGACAAATGAAGTTTTACTGTTTTTGCAGCAGCTATGATAAGAAACACTTCTTGCTGTCATAAGATAAATTCCAGGTATATGGCTCACTGTAGAATATAAACAGTTGTCTGCTAATATGGCTCTGACACAAAGGGAGATCATTATTACTACAATTATGATTGCTTAATCTGCAATAAATATCATTTTTAAGTGATCTGTCTTAAAAAGTTATTTTATTTTTTCTTAATTGTCTATTCCTTAAGCTACTGACAGGCCCAAGTAGACCCGGTCGTGCTTTTCAAGCAAAATTTACTCACAGGAAGAGATTTCAGGGGAAGGGAAGGGATTGATTTCACATGTGAGCTATAAATAGAGCCAGTTTCCTGTCAGCACTTTCTGGAAGTTTTAACTTGATGAATATATCTAATGTGCATTTATCACCAGAAACTTATAGGAGTTTGATTTCTTAATGATATAAATATAGTTATCTCTGGGAACTCTGATAATAAATATAGGTTCTACAACTAATTACTGCTTTCTGAACAATGCATGAAACTGCTTGTCAAAGGAGATCGCAGCAATAAAACAGTTGTTATGACTAGAACACCAGCTGTGAATGTGAGACATAAAAAGATATGAGTGCACAGTGTTCTTGAGAATAACAGGGCCTCAGACAGCCCACAGTTCATTCTCCTGCCTGAGTGAACTCTAGCAGGCTTCCTCAGATGTACGGAGAGAGACGACCTCAAATAATTGAGGGTCTCCCAAGTGGTTTTTAAATCTTTTAAAATACATTTCAAATTAAATTATAGAATAATCGTATCACGGAAAGATTCAGGCATTCAGAAGTGTATTCACAAGTTCGCTTCGATTCTTTAGAAAGTACTCATGCCTAGCCTTGGTGCATTTCTCCATGCAGTCATGCGAAATACAAGTATGGTTGCTTTTTGTCCTTTCTTACAGAATGTACCTGAAATATGGGAGCCCAGTTAAAATGATGGAGAGTTATATTGCAGTTCTCACAAAGGGGATATGCCAGAGTGAAGAAAATGGCTCTTTCCTTAGCAAAGACTTTGATGCCCGAAAGGCATACCTCGCAGGCTCCATCAAAGGTAAAAAAAAAAAACAATACGAAAAAAGAAATAAAAACCCATCCCAGAGGATTCCATCCCTACAGCAACAAAATCCTCAAGTCCAGGACAGTCTCTCAGTAGACTTTTTCCAACTTTTTACATATTTCCATCTATGTAATATTTGTTTCCTATACAGGAGGGTACTTCAGCTTCTGCACTTCCTTATTTGATTCAAATCCTGTCATGGAAAAGCACACTTATGATATTCCTTTCCATATGATTCTGATTGTTAATGTAGAATTGTTCTTTCACGAGTGAGCTGAATTTCGTGGTTCCAGATCTCCACTGGCTTCCATAGTTTTCTTAGATCTTAGCACTGAACCTCTTCCATCTGGAGAGCTCAAGCCCCTGGCCCAGATTCCTAGTCCAACTCCCTGCCTTTCTCTACTAGCTGGAACATCCAAAAGGTCAGACAGCCCAAAGCCAAGCCACAGACTTCGGGGTCCTTAAGAAAGGGAAGAATGGGGGTGGTTCCATAGTGTAGTGGTTAGCACGTCACTTTACACACAGAAGGTCCTGGGTTCAGGCCCCGGGTGCACACTGCAAGTGTATGAGAGGAGACGCCCTGCCTTCAGAAATCCAGTTCTTAAGGGGAGATGGCAAAGTTCATAAGTCAGGGGTGGAAGAGAGGTAGGCATTAAAGAGGGGAAAAAAAGAGGAGAGGAAGTTCAAGGGGAATGCTGGCCTTCGTTCTTGTCCTCCCACAGCACCTGTCTGTCTTCACTGTTACTCTACTGTTTATATGGTTTCCAAGCATCCCTTTGGAGGTATTGTCCAACTGTCTCAAAAGGACTTAAGTAAGGACATGCAGGACAGGGTGATCAGTGGACATTTTTTAAAACTTAAGGAGTTTTCATGGCACAGAAATGTTCTGGTTCCCTTCATACCATTTTTTCTACTTTCTTGTGAATCTGGCTTTATCCGTGCTTCCACCAAAGAGTCCCTTGTGTGACAGGTGTGGGCAGCTGTGACACCTGTCCTAGGAGCACATGTATGGATTGATAAACCCATCCGCCAGATAAGGTGCTTCTGTACCTACACCACTTACCTAAATTTGTTCTTTGTGTTGAAAATAATTTTGCATTCATTTGATAGGAATTATTTATAACAAAAACTTGATTTCCTTATATAATATTTAATGCAGTAACATTATGATTTCATTTTTTTTTAAGACATTGTATCTCAGTTTGGAATGGAAACTGTTATCTTACACACAGCACTGATGCTAAAGAAAAGAATTGTCGTCTATCACCCCAAAATAGAAGCTGTCCAGGAGTTTACCAGGTATCAACTCTAATCATTAAAAAGTGTAAACTTTGTTGGCAGCCAGTTTGGAACATTTGGTGTTAATGTGTGTTCTGTTTTGTTGCGCATTTGCTAGAAATAGAATGTATTAGGCTGGGGGTGGATTATCTTTTTGGTCTAATGGTCCAGTTTAGATTTAGTAGTTCAGAGTTACTGAATTTGGACAGATTCTTTAAATTTGAAATACGAATGTTTTAGAGCAGGGAGTTTGCAAACTTTTCCTTGCTGAGAGTAAATATTTAGGTTTGTAGGCCGCATAGTCTGTGTCCCAACTACTCAACTGTCACAGTAGCATAAAAGCAGCGTAGACAGTACCAGTACGCATGTGAGTGAGTGAGCGTGGCTGTGTTCCAATAAAACTTTATGTGCAAAGATAGGCAGCAACTCCTGGGCCATAGTTTCCTGACCCTTGTTTTAGCTAAGTTGTTTCTTCTGTTCAATTTTACCATGGACTCTTTTCTTATTCTTACAATAAATACAGTTTGTTTGTTTTTAGTTGTTTTCTTTGCCTAATCTAACTCGTTCTTAGATTCTTTTTTAAAAGCATGGAGAACTAGCATTAGTGCTGTGTTTACTTATGGCAGGCATCATGTAAGACACTTTGCATTATTAAATTTACACATGACAAGAACCTTGCAAGTGTTATCACCTTGTTTTATGGATGAGGAAATTGAGGCTCAGAGAGACTAAATGGTTAGATAATGGAAAGAAGAAAGGCCTGGCAGTCGGAAAGACCTGGGTTAAAATCCTGGGAGGGCAGTTTATTCGCTCTGTGACCACGTAAAGTGTGCTAATGTTGCTAAGCCTCAGTCTCTTTATTTGTAAAGTGAAGATAATACCTCAGAAGCTTGTTTTTAGAATTGGAGATAATTTGCGTCAAGTGCTTTAGCAGGTACCTTGCCTGTAGTGCACGCTCTAGAAATGTTACTGTTGTGATCACGGGTGCCTCAGATCCTGGGGAGAGGGCCAGACTTTATTGTGCTCGCTCTGACTTCAAAACTCTGTACTTTCCTACCTCATTACTCTTTTCCTCTACATTTATGCTACTGAAACTGGGGTGTCCAGAGCTTCTGACATATATAACGGCATCAGGGGGTTCAGAAAACCACAGATCAATTCAGCATGTCTTCCCGCAGTAGTTGTTTTACTGGAAGGTTTTTTTAAGGAAATGTATTTGCAATAAAAATAAACACAAGGTGGTATGCAAATTTGACTGGAATTTTAAATCGAAATGAGAGATGTCAAAAAAATTTCCTGCCTATAGGGCCCTCTGACAGTCTGCAGGGTGGGGTGTCGGGAGGAAAACCTTAGAAGCGTCACTCTTTGACACCATGGAGATCTTTTGAAACTTCTCCTTGAGCTTTCTGTAGCTTATCTGACCCCAAAAGCAGAGTTTAACGCATTGCATTAAATTCATTTGAAGCCTGGTGGTGCTGGCACATGTAGGGTTGGTTCTCCCCTCTGCCTCTGCTAGCCAGCACCCTCCGCCAGAAGAAGGAGGGGCAGGCTGAGTCCCTCGGGTCAAGGCCAGCAGCATTTGAGTTCTCTCTTTGATTCCTTAGGACTCTGCCTGCCCTGGTGTGGCATCGACAGGACTGGACCATCCTGCACTCGTATGTGCACCTCAACGCCGAAGAGCTGGAAGCCCTGCAGGTGTGCACAGGTAGACTACAGGACCCCGGGGTGGGGAGGGCTGGGCTTTAACCAGGGGTGCCGTTTGGTTCTTTGTTTTTTGTTTTGCATGCATTCCTAAGGAGAGTACTGATCAGTTATTTCTTTGGTAAATGGAACCAGTTATTTTCTCTTTTAAAACTTTTAATTAAAGAAAAATCGAGAGAAATACACATAACATAAAATTGGCCATCTTAGTCATTTTTAAGTGTATAGTTCACTGGCATTAAGTACATTCTCATTGCTACGCAACCATCACCAAAATACAACTTATTTTTAGCTTGTGAAATTCTCATCTTAAAAGTTTTCCTATCAGTGATTTGATTTAGACTTCATTCTGAGCCTTTTCATATTTTTTTCTCAAAGGAAAAAAATAAAATTATTTTTAAATGGTGTTATACTTGTATAATAACTTTTAATAATAAGATTCTGGGAATAATTTAATAATATAGTATTATTTATGTCTACAGTAATCCTAACTTTGTAGTGCCATCGTTTTTTGTTTTAGTTTCTTTGAATTTAAAGTTAAAATGCTCTTTTTACTTTTACAGTTTTAAAAGGTCTTTTCACTGAACAATGATGGTAGATAGTAGGGGCTTTTGTTGTTTTTTTAATTATGAAATATTTGTTACATATAAAATAATACATAATATTTACGCAAGTTATAAAAAAGGAACATTCATGGACTCACCAGAGATGACATAGAATGCCGTCAGTACTTTGAAGCACCCCATGGACCTTCCTATCTCATTCCGCCCGCTCCTCTAGCCACTTACACATAGACACATATCTCTAAACAACACACTTTAAGTTTACCAAAATAACTACATGTACATATGGACTCATGATAGATGATGGATGAGTTCTTTGTTTTTTGTTTTTTTTTAATTTTTATAGTTTATTTGAGCCAAAATTGACAATTGCCGGAAACATGATCCCAAATGCTCCCAGATGAGTGTTTCTGAGGCCTGTTTTTGTTTTGCTTTGTTTATTCTTAACATTTAATATTTTTGTGGGATTCATCCTGTCCATATGGTTATCTGTAATCCCATTCATTTTCACTGCCATATAGGATCGCATTAAGCGGTATACCATGTTTTACTCATTTTGACTTTTCTAGTTATTCACTTTTAAAACAGTGCTGCTGTGAGCATGCTTGTTATGGGTCTCTCGCTGCACACATGCAAGACTTTCTAGGTTACGCACTGGGGAGTAGAATTCCTGGGTTATATATACAAATCCTCAAGCTGCAGGATAATGCCAGATGTTTTCCTCAGGGATTCTAACGATTTACCTCCCGGTAGCAGTGTGGGAGAGGTCCCGCTACCTCACGTCCTCAGTAGCACTTGGTAATTGTCACACTTTAAAACGTTTGCCCACTCGGTGGTGTGCGGTGAAATTCCATTGTGTTATTCCTGATTCCTAATGAGTTTAAGCATATTTCTATGTTTTTTGCCGTTTGTGTTTTCTCTATCTTGTACCCATTTTTCCATTGGATTGTTTTTCTTATTGATTTATAAATAAGAAATACTCATAAGCACTGCTTATGAGTATTCGTGGGGCGAAGGGGAAATGGATTTTTAAAAATGTGTTTGACATGTGAGGACCAATGTATCCTCGAGTTTTACTTTACCAGGAGAAGTCATTTTAAAAACAGCAACAAAAACAAAAACTCACCACAAAGCATCCCGACACAGACTCATAAAAAAAAAAACATAAATAAGTTATTTACATACTAAAGATATGAACCCATCGTTGGTTATATATGCTTCAAAAATCTCTGAGTTTGAATTTTTAAAAAAGTCTCATGTTATCTTCTTATGACTAGAAATCTTAATGTGTTAGAATGTATTAGACTTTTATTTTAGTTTTTATATTTTAAGAAAATCTCTATCCCAAGGGTAGAAAGATATTCTCCTATATTTTTTTATAAAAATTTAAGTTTTCTTCCTCCTCATTTACATCTTTTATGTACCTGGAATTACTTTTTTGGTAATGTGTGAGTTTGGGAGCTGATTTCATTTTTTTCCTTTTAAATGGCCATTTGGCCCAGGAAAACTTACTGAGTAGTGTTCTCTCGCTAATAATCAGCAGTACCATTTGTCTTATATCACATTTTCTCGTATGTGAGTGAGTCTGTGTCGGGATGCTTTGTGGTGAGTTTTTGTTTTTGTTGCTGTTTTTAAAATGACTTCTGGTAAAGTAAAACTCGAGGATACATTGGTCCTCACATGTCAAACAAATTTTTAAAAATCCATTTCCCCTTCGCCCCACGAATACTCATAAGCAGTGCTTGCCCATTACTGCCCTAACCCCACCCCCAAAGTTTGCCACGAAATATCTCACTTTTATTATTTTCGCATCACTCAAGTATATCAATATTCTTTAGAAACAAATGACATCATCCTATTTATAGCATCTTGTTTTTAGTAGTGGTATTTCCATTTACAAAATATAGTAATTCTTGATTGCTGAAAATGTCAAATCCTAGAAAAGTTAACATTCCGACGTGTGATGTTAAATTAACGCTGGCAGCGAGCTGCACTTTTTCTTTCTGATTGGGAAAAGGGTTAAATTGTACTGCTCTGTGAAATCTGAAAAAGTCTGGAACTGCTGTCTTAACACCAGTTCCGACGGGCTGCTAGTTCTGGAGTTGCCCTGATTCCTTTAGCACTTGCTGTGTCAGCTCTGAAACTGGTGAACAATGATGCTGTTTCCTTGGGAAACCTGGGTATTTATTTGGCTATGATTTCTTGGAGACAAAGACCTAAAGGGGGAACACTAGTCAAGAGCATCCTGCCTCGTCTGTCATTTTTGACCCCAGAAGCAAAAACTGAAAAGTAAACGCTTTCCTTCAGCCTCCTTCCTTGGCACTGAAGTCTATCTAGATTTGGAACATTTTGAGTTGTGTGAGTTTCTTTAGGCAACTGACGATAATGTAGTCTTAAGAAATGCCGCAGAGCACAGCTAATGTATCCTGAATAAACAGAGCAGTAAAAAAAAGCAGCTGATGAATCTATAGACTCAGTTCTATTTTGACATGTTCACAAAATGATTTCTTTCCTATTCCAGTAATGTCGGTCATGTTTGTAATGCAGGTTACATCGCCGGATTTGTAGACTCGGAGGTGAGCAATAGATCAGAGCTCTACGACGTGTTCGTGAATCTGGCAGACAGTGAGATTACCATTGCTCCACTTGCAAAAGGTTAGTGCTCTGTTCTCTTCCGTTGTTGACACAAATTGCAAGGCAAGCAGTTGTGTTTTTTAAGCTGATTCTCTAAAACCAGTATTTGAGGGCCTGCTTCACCTGCTGTGCTCAACTGAAGCTCAAGGGCTTCTTCTGTGGCTAGAGCACAGCATTTATTCTTCTGGCCTAGCCATGTTAGTGATACACCCTGGGTGCTTATGCTGCGTAGTATATGTCGATAAGAGTCTTTTTATTTTGTTTCTTCACTTTCTGTTTAAACAAGGTATATTAGTTACCTATTGCATCACTTCTAAATTTAGTGATTCAATAGATATTTATTATTTCAAAGTTTTGGTGGGTCAGGAATTCAAGACTGATTTAGCTGGGAAATTTTGGCTCAGGGTCTCATGAAGTGTCAATCAAGATAGTGCCAGGCTTGCTTGCAGTCGACTGGGTCTCTAGGCTCTACTTCTAAGCTAACTCACATGGCAAGAGCCCTCAACACATGGGCCTCTCCATAGGGCAGCTTTAGTGTTCTCATGACATGACAGCTGGCTTCCCCAAGAGTGAGTGATCCAAGAGACAGAGAAGGAGACCACAGTGCTTCTGTGACCTTGTCTTGGAAGTCATACTTCCTCAACATTCTCTTTGTTAAAAGCAAGTTGTTAAGTCCAGTCCACACTTAACGGGGAGGAATTAGAAGGAAGGAGTGTCAAAGAGCATGTAGACATTTATCACTATATAGGGATTGACTGTGACTCCAGCGTGAAAAATCTGTTTGAAAGATGTCTCAGTAAACCCAAGGGAATGAAAGTATTCTCGGAACTAATGATCAGGACAGAGTGTTCTAGTGTCAGAGTGTTGTCTGGAAACTTTAAATTGTCCTAAATTACAGCTACATAAAGTGGTAAGGATTGGGTTAAATGTGTGTTGAGCCCAGGGCACTTCTGTGGTACTCCTTTTGTGTTGGCATTTGTCCTAAATCTGGGGCAGCTGAATGCTGGCTAGTTAGGAATTTTTGTTAGATGCTAACTGCAAATTAATACAACCAGAACCAGTTTTCTTTTGTTTTAAAATTATAAACATAATGCACGTTCATGGTGACAGATTCAAAATAGACAATCAGATCATTAGGAGATACTGCCTTTTGTAAAGCCAAAGTGATAGAAAACTGGCCAGGGCCACTTAAATTGCTGAAGCATTAAGACCACAAAGGATGGCCATCTCCCTGCTGCCATCTGTTGCTCTGAGTCTGTAAAATGGGCTCAACCCCAGTCAGCCCCATTCAAATCGAATTTGTCCCTTGGAGTGACAAACAAATTTCTGTTTATCTCCTGCTGCAGAAAGTGGTAACGGATATGATTAGTGTAACTTAGGTTGTTTCTTTAGCTCGTTTCCAATGGCCTTTACACACTGAATGTGCAGCTGGCTCTGCAGAAGTGACAGGAAGCGCTTCTTTCACAATACTCCTGCCAGAAAAATCAACTCGGAATCTTAACTGTAGACCTCAACAGCAAAGTTGAGCTCTTGGCTTAAACTCACAACTTATTTGTAGTCAGAAGCTTCGTTAGATTTTTTTAGAAAAAAAAATAATTCTTATCAGGTAGGTATGAAGGAGGAATTTGGTTTGATACTGGTCTTTATTTTGGGCATGAAGTCTATAAATCATGATTGCACCTTACCTCGTAGCATGTCATCATACTCGTGTTTAGCAATAAGATGGAAATGTGGGAGGTTTTCAGTTACTTTTTGAAAATTTCCTCTTTCACATTTTCAGATGGCATAATTTTTTTTTTTATTATGTAAACTTCTAAATATTCATACAACATATTCTTAATCTCACCAGAGGCCATGACAATGGGCAAACTGCACAAAGAAATGGGTCAGCTAATTGTTCAGTCTGCAGAAGATCCAGAGAAATCAGACAGCCAAGTTATACAGGTAACTCCTTACTCTGCCGACTTACTGAGAGTCCTGAAGTGGTGTAGCTGGGCGGTGTGCACAGGGCTGCACGTTCTCTTGTTCACACGAACAGTGGCAAGTGACTGGAAGAGGCCAGCAGGCAGATGATCAGTCATCAGGGTCTGGGGACAGATATATACAGGGGGCTGGTGCCGAAGCCAAGCACTTATGATGAGAAATGTGACTGCTACGTGGTCTGGAATGCTTTTCTGGACTTGCCAGCACATCCTCTCCTAGCAAAATTTTCAGAGGAACAAATTCTCAAGAGAAGGTTGCTGCTGAGCATGGGGCACTAGATGGAGCATCTTCACCTAGCTCTGATGTGTTGTCTCTGGGACATTGGTAAGCACACAGACCCCCGCCAGACTTAGCCAGCTCTGGTGTCACAATGTGCAGGTAGCTTTAATTCCTCTGTGGGGCCTACCTTTCATACTGACCTGTGTCCATGTGGACCTCCTAGTCTCTCCTTGCCAGGTTGGTATGGAAATGGGTTTTATTTATGCCTCTCCATGTGGTGATAAAGCTGCTCCCCTGCTCCCAGCTGGCCCAGCCTCCTCCCCTCCTGTCTGCTGCCAGTTTGCAGCAACTTGCTCCTCTCCTGCAAGATAGACTTTCAGCCCAGCCTCTCCCAGGCCCTGCCTCATTTGTACACTGGGGGCCCGGAGCCTGGAAGGATCATCTCCCATTGTCTGCACACACGTGTGCTACCTGGGGGGCACCTCTGATTGGCAGGCTCTGCTCATGCTCACCTGGTTGTACCTAGCTCTTTTCTTCATTTATCCATTTATTTACTTAGATATTTATTGAGCACTGACTACATGTCAGGCATTGCATGAGCAGTGGGATGGATGACAGTGGTGAGCAAAGTCCCTGCACTTCTGGCCTGTATTTTAGCAGAGTAGATGAACAGAAAATAAGTGACAAGATCATTGTGAACTATAATAAATGAACACTGTGACAAACAAGGGGTTGAGGTAGAAAATATTAGACAAGTCGTCGGACAGCTCTCTGAGAAAGTGACGTGTGAGGCGCAGGGTGCCGAAGGGTGAGAAGGGCCACAGGTTTTGACAGGGACCCACCAGCAGCACTGTTCTTTCTGTTCAGTGCTGGTGGCCTGTCAGCTGTGGCCAGGAAGCGTGGGTGGGTCTTGTCTCGAGGACCTGAACACTGAGACTCTCCTTTGCCTCAAAAAATTAAACATACTATGGCCACGCCACCTTGAACAAGCCCGATCCCATCCGATCTCAGAAGCTAAGCAGGGTTGAGCCTGGTTAGTACTTGGATGGGAGACCACCTAGGAAGACCAGGTGCTGTAGGCGTTAAAAAAACAAAAAGTTAAACATAGAGTTACCATAGGTCCAGCAATTCTACTTCTGGGTATTATCAAAAAGAATTGAAAGTAGCGACTCAAATAGACATTTGTATCCCCTTGTTCACAGCAGCACTATTAGCAATAGCCAAGGTGAAAGGAACCCAGATGTCCATCAGTGGCTGAATGGATAAACAAAAAATGTGTTCATATGCTATAGAATATTATTCAGCCTTAAAAAGGAATTAAATTCTAACACATGCTACAACATGGATGAACCTTGAAAACACTATGCTAAGTGAAATAAGCGAGACTCAAAAAGGACAAATAATGTATGATTCCACCTATATGAGGTACCTAAAACAGGCAAGTTCATAAAGACAGATGATAGAATGGTGGTTCCCAGGGGCTGGGAAAGAGGGGGATGGGGAGTTATTGTTTAAGGGGTATAGAATTTCAATTTGGGATAATGAAAAAGTTCTGGAAATAGATAGCAGTGGTCATTATACAATGCTCTGAACATACTTAATGCCACTGAATTGTACACTTGAAAATGGCAAAAATAAATTAGCGGTGACATTGATTTTTCTATGTTATTTTAAGGTTGTTTCACTTTTCCTAATTTATTAAATTAGTCTGAAAAACTTTAAAAAATAGAATAATTCTGTTCAAATGCAACAACTATTCAAATGTTTTGATGCTAACATACTACATATTTTCCTTTTCTATTAAAGGATATTTCTGTAAAAACAAAAGAAATCTTCACCAACCTGACACCATTTTCAGAAGTTTCAGGTGATGGAGAAAAGCTAGTTCTCAACTTTGAGGCACTAAAGCAAAGACGATTTCCGCCAGCGACAGAAAACTTCCTTTACCATCTAGCAGCAGCTGAACAAATGCTGAAAATCTGACCATGTGACTGTATCACTGATGACTGATCTAAAGCTGTTTGACCATGATTATTCATTAACTATGTAAAATACTGCAAATAACAAAATGTTGTTTTAATGATTCATTTGAAAGTATTGAGATTTGACCTGAAAAGCACTGAAACACATATGAAAACACTTCTGCTTTTCTCCTGTCATTAGTTTCATGCCTACTGTTGATGTCGGACAAAGTGCCGTCACTTCCATAGATTATGTTGTAAATGGCTCGATGTTCTGGAGTAAGAGACAAAAGCTCTGTCAAGTTCTCGTGCACGTCACAGCAAACCCAAAAGCCTTCATTGTTATAAGTTTAGTTTGTCTCATTGTGTAGCCACAAACTGATGGTTTATTTTCAGAAAGCTGCCTGAAATTTTCCTTTGTATTCTTCCAGGAAGAACTTTAATTCCTCATGAGGAACTCTCCTTTCTGAGCCAGACTACTAAGTTTTCTGCAGAACTGTCTAGAAAATCATTCAAAAGACCCTGCAGTTGCACTTTCTTGTAAAAGAAAAAATTTTTTTCTTGGCCTTTGAACTTTTTGCCTATGAGGGTTTTGCATAAATTTTATACTTGAGTAGACGTTAACAATTCATATTTATACTGTTGCAGAGGTAAGTGCTTGGCAGACTTAGGCCACTGATTACTCTTCAGTTAACCCTGTTGCTAGCAATGTTATTTTGTAAAAGAAGCCAGCCCTTATGTGGCAGAGTAAAATAAGTAGTCCATTTTTAATTTAAACGTCTGGCTGGCTGAAACAGCGACTTTATATAATTGGTAAGGGAGCGCGAGAATTAGTTTCTTGCAAAGGCCAAAACCAGAGAACATCTTCAAACAACTTCAGTGGATGTAGCTTGGCCACATGTGAAGGTGACTGTTCTGTTCAGCTATGTACCTCTCTCATAATTGGAGACCTAAAAATTATAAAATAAGCATGAGGTCTAAATTATATACTTGTTATTATATGTATTCATATCAATTATGAAAGGTTATTTTACACTCCACTGTTGTCCTTAGAAATCTTACCCAGAAAAATGTTTGCAAAAAAAAAAAAAAAAATCTTGTCTTTATTGGATCTTTCATTTATTCTTGTAAAAATTAAAAATAGCCTTTTCCCCTCCCTCCTTGGGTAGGGGAGGATCTGAAATAAGAGGATGTTTACTAAAAGCAAACAATTTAAATTAAATCTGCACTTTATGAAAATGAATACTAACATCTTTTTCTCCCTTATTTTTGTATTACTATATTAGCTAATGATCAAAGTTGTTAAAATTACAAATTTATGATGCCAAAATAAAATGGAAATATTTTGATACGCAACAGAGTTTTAGGTAGATGAAGACTTGTGCCCTCTTTCTCCAATTCTCCCACTTCAGACAAACAAACAAAACCTCTTTTTGTCAACTGCCAATGCACTGGGGAATTAAAAGACCTATTTGAGAGTGAAGGGGTCTGGCCCCTTCCCTGCCGTCGCCCATTCCCAGAGCTGGCTGACTGCGCAGTGTCTTTGAAGAGATGCCCTCGCATTTCTATTCCGTCATCTGTTAATGGGCAACCTCCACCTGGAGCCTTTGAACATTTTGTTCTTGTTCAGTCAGTCCGGCTATACTGAGCTATCTGGTAGGTCAGTTTTTACTAATTCTGCCCTTGCTGTTATTGAACCCTTTTAACCAAATTTGGAGATAACTGCCTTTCCGGCCCAGGGAAAACTGAAAGCCACAGATATAGTTGATGATTTGGGGCAGGGTGTGTGGGAAACATGCCCCCAGGATGCACTATTTGGGTACCTACTCTGCACCACGTACTGTTGTATCCTGGGGCTTCCTTGATGTACAAGACAGTTCCTGCTCTCAAGGCTCACAGCCCACAGGGGCAGAGAAGAGGCACCTGATTCAGCATGGTGAATCCTGCAAGGCTCCCTGGAGGGAGTGAATGATGTGCAGTCAGACCTAAAGCAGAAGCAGGAGTTAGCCCAGAGCAGAGGAAAGCAGGGGTCAAGGCCCAGAGCAGAGACCACAGCCCATTTGAAGAACTGGATGTTGGTCCAGCATGAGGGAGTGGCAAGAGATAAGTAAGGCACAGGCTCTTTCTAGCATGGCTGGGAATTTGTACTTGACTCTGATGTACTGGGAAGCCATTTAAAGCTTTTAGGCAGGTACGTTTAGAAGAGCAGATTGGAGTATGGATTAGAGGGAGCTAGACAGACGCGTAATACCAGCAGGGGATGCTGTTGGACCGAGTGGGCAGTGGCAGTGGACATGGAGTGCGTTCTAGAGAGGACTACTGGGCTTGCTCTACTGAGTGGGGGTGGGGGAGGGAAGGGTAAGGGTGTTGCCAGTGATCCTATCTGATGCAAATGCGTAAGCAGTGGTGCCATTTCGCGAGATTGGGAGATCTCAAGTGGACATCCGAATGGCAAAGTACGGGCGACAGCTGGATGTGGGCTGGTAGCTTGGGAGGGCGAGCACCATGATGTCTGAGCAGCCAGCAGAGTGGTGGTACAGCGCCAGGGTCACGGCTGAGAGCAGTCTTAGAGTGGAAGGTGGGGCAGACAATCTCTGGAAAAGTCTGGCTGTGAACCTGGTGGTGCAGGCAAGGGGTGGGGGGATTGCTTTTTTAATGAGGCAGGTGACTCAGGCAGCTTAAATGCTACTGGGAAGGAACAGACAGAAGCCTAGAGGCAGAGGGGTCCAGAGCCTAGGGCCCAGCTGACCTTGCATGGTGGAAGGAAGGCTGGGTGTGGTGGAGGGAGGTCTGCAGATTTGGTGCCAGGAGGTTCCAAGGCTGGACAAGAGCCTTGGTTTGCACTGTGGAGGAGGAGGCAGAGTCGTTTGCCAGTGAGGAGAAAGAAGGAGCTCAGCGACGGGTGGCAAAGATTTTCAGTAGTTTTCCGAAATGGGAGTAAGCCGAGTACGGAACCACGATTGCTTTGGGGTTGAAGGCCTTCTGCAGCTCACCAGAGAGATGGGGTTTCTGTGCCCTGGGCTTGGTGGACCCTTCTTCATTTTTTCAAATACTCAACTTTAAACAAGTTTATTAGTAGTTTCACAATACCCTTTCACAGGCAGATGAAGAACCAGGAAACTGAATCCTACATTGCCCACCCCTCAGCAATCCATGGGGGAGGGTCAGACAGGACAGCCTCTCATTCCTCTTCTCCCATCCAGGCTTAAAAACCCCAGGTGTGACCAGCCTCCACGAGGTCTTGGCATCCGTGATTGTAAGCCCTCTTATCTGCGCAGACACCTCTGGGGTTTCCAGGAGACCTCTGGCAGAGTTCTCGAAACTAAAACCTCGAGAGGAAGGTTTGTAAGCAGGAACCAAACAAATTCACCTAAAACTCATCCCTACACCCCTCTGTTGTAGAAGAGTTCTGTTTCTTCTGTTGCAGACTGAATTTCCTTTTCAAGCTTACTGTACTGTATCTGAAAAACAAAATTAAATTCTTAACATAGACATTAAAAACTTTCCTTGCCTTAGAAGCCAAGTCAAAAAAAATTTTTCAGACATTTATTTCACAGTCCAACTTTTTTCAGTGATGTCTAATCTAGAGGAAAAAAGCTAACTTCTTCAAAACATTCTTATGGAAAATTTCAAATATAAGCAAATGAAGAGAGAAGATAATGAACCTTCCTTCATGTACTCATCACTCAGCTTTAACTATTAACAATCTGCCAATCCCCTGAGATTCAGACTTCTGTAAATGACCCAACCTGCAGATAAGTCATCTGTTCCACTCCGAGTACATTGCAATCAGAAGTAATTATTTGTAAAAAGGTTCACTATTATTCCAATCTTATTGTTACAAACTGTGTTCTATAGGGGAGGCCTCTGAGGATTAAAAATATTTTTTTGTTCTAAAATTTTAATGAGCAGCTATTCCCCCTTTGCCCCTCACCACCCCCAAAGCGAGTATAGCAAGTATCTTAAATAATTTAAAACTTGTATGTTCTGTGCTGGCAGTTGCCTGAATTAACAATTCTATAATCCTAAACTTAGAGAATTTGGGTTTTCAACAAGATCATTCCATAAATATAAACGCTTCGAGAACGTGACTAATTTTTAACTTGTGATAGAAACAAGCGTTTGGAATTTTCAGCCAAGAAATGCCATAAATGGCTAATGTCTACTAGTATCCATAATGTCCTTGGCACCAGGAACAACCCTTTGCAGAGATACTATTATCTTTCATCTCCCTTTAACAAATACAGATACGGAAACTGAGTCTCAGAGAGTTTAAGCAAATTTGACCGAGGTCATGGAGGAGCTGGGAATTTGAGTCCAGGCAGTCTGACTCATCGTGAATTATAACATAAGCCAGTCTACAGAAATGCAATACAGTAGCCGCATGGGAGTTCTAAAAATCAGTTCCTCATTCCCACTGGCCGCATTTCAAGTGCTAAACAGCCACATGTGGCTAGTGGCTACCGTATTAGAAACCAGATATAGGATGTTTTTTCATCATTGCAGAAAGATCCACTAGGTGGGCATTGCAATAGAAGATTATGGAGTATTTCAAAATCTCAAAGGTTTTTTTTTTTAATGTCCCAGAAAAATGCTTCTGACGTACATTGAGAAAAATCGAATCAAAAACTGCACAAGTGATCTGGGGGATGGGATTAGTGTAAATAACGTTATTTATCTTGTCAACTTTGCAGATTTTTTAGAATAAGTGACACTTACCCGTCCAATTTGAGGGAACATACTGAAAGAAACTGGCACCATCAGTCCCATTACAAAGATGGTACAAGACAGCTTTAAAGTCCACAATGAGCTTGGATATCGCAGAAAGAACTGGGTCCTGGAAGAGACAAGGTTACAGGGCATTGTTTTAGAGGCTGGCCCTCTGCTCGAATGGCAGCCAATTGTTTTGCTCACTAGCATCCGGCCCAGGGTTAAGCACTTCCTGTGCATCTGCTCATTTGATACCATCATTCTAGAAGTGAGGAGATGTGCCTCAGCAGGTGCTGGGACATGCCCAGGAACACAGAGCTAACTGAGGATAGGGCCTGGCTAGATTCCAGGTTTGCTGGCATCTGCATTTCCACACCTGTCACAAATCAATCTTGCTATCTTAACTGTGATGAAGAGTATGCAGTAGGGGGGACCACTGAATCAACTTCTTCCTGTCCTTCTCACCAGGTTTGGTATTTGACAAGTTATACAAGAATTTTGACTGTTGTTAAAAGATTTATTCCGACCCGGGGAGATGAGCGCATGTCTTACCTTTTGTAAAAGTATGAGAAGATTTCGGGAATCAAAGCTGACGTCCCAAACAGCACGACTCTGGATGTTGCTGTATCTTTAACGGCCTAGTAGGAAGAGGAAGGGAGCAGCTCAGCACACAGAGTGAGATTATTTCCAGGGGTCCTGTAACTCATGACAGAGACAAGCAAACAGCAGCTCTCCTTTCTCACTTAAAAAAATAACGCACTTGGAAAGAGGTGGAGGCTGCGGTGGACATGCAAATGTATGCAGGACAGCTGGGGTCAGTGCCAGGAGTAATCGAAGACGGGATTTGCCTCCCCCTGACTCCATAATGGTCTCCATCAGTCTGCCAACAACTCCAAACAAAATACTAAGTATAAGCAAAGGCAGCTTATAGACAAATCCTCGCTTAGAACCAAATGGCCGTTTCCTTGGTAGAAATGCTGGTTTTTGCTACTAAGGATCAATCCATGCTTTCCTTTCAATCCAGATTCTGCCACTGGGCTCCCTTTCCTGAATGGCTCCCCAGTTATTCCCACCACTTCCAATGAAGGAATCTTCTAGAAGCCAAGCTCAAAATGTACCAACATGGCATTGTACCCACACATCATGGGCACGAGTCTACCCGTATGCACCCATCTTTTGCCTGTGTAATTAAAAGTGCTATAAATTTTTATTTTGTACAAACATGTATCGTTTATAACATCTTGTCACCTTTTCTATTATATACATTATACAGTGAACATGTAAACGTGATTGACTGTATGGGTTACATGCACAAAAGCATGTGTCCTCAAGGGCCAGGTAGGAGACTCTCAAGGGGAATTCTGATTACAGATGACACTCACATGTTAACTCCAGAACCCAATCCCTGCGTAAGACACACCTCCACACACAGCACTGCTCTCTCTACACAAGATAAATTGGCACACACACGCCATGATTCCCTTCCCCCCACTGCCCTCCTTCCACGTCCAGCTTCCCAAGACTTGGCCACAGCCTGCCCTCTGGGCTCTCCTCCTAGGCACCTGCTCTCTGCCTATTACACTCTTGCCCAGTTCATCCAATCCCTCTGCAGGGAATGCCTTCCCCCCACGAGGACACAAGGAGGGTGGCTTTTAAAATAAACTTTCAAGAATATAAAATAAAATCCCTCGACTTCGGGAAGAGAAAAGTGGCTGCTGAGTGTGGTGTGTTTCGACGTCAGTGGGGTGAGGTGGCCAATCGCCATCTGTCTCACGTGCAAGGGGAAGACACTCCGAACAAGACAGCGTCATTAGGAGGCACTGGGAGACGAGTTACAGTTCGCATCTGAGTGGCTTACAAGGCCAGTCAAGGGAACAACATGGACTAGGCTCCTGAAATCTGATCTAAGGTGCTCCATTACAATCAGATATTGCTGGTTACGTAGTTTCTGAAATTTTAGCCAAAGAAAATCAACCTTTCGGTGATAAAAGAATGCTTATGCTTACGCACAGCTACAGACATTTTATTCTTAAGAAAAAGATAAACTTAAAAAACAAAAAACAGACCAACAAACCTTTCTTTTACCCTAAACTGAAGTTCCTCCTGGTGAGATGGACTAGATATGCTGGTAGCTAGCAGGATTGGAGGCCGTCTCCCCTCTGGGAGGCCCCGTGCTCTGGGCTCCTGGAGATAGTATGGGTGTTGAGAGCCTAGCTTGGTGCCTGGCGGCCGAAAGTGCAAAGGAACAGCTTGTGGATTCCACACTTGCTCTCTCTCTCACTCTTTAGCTGCATAAACAGCTCACGCCACTACCAGCACCTTGCAGTTAAAACCGAGTTGAAAAGAAGCGCAAACATACGTCCACACGGAGAGCTACACGTGAATGTTCAACGCTGCATTATTCATCACAGCGCAGAACTGGACACAGCCCAAATGCCCATCGCCTGGGGAATGCAAAAGCAAAACTGTGCTACATCCACACCGTGGAGTACTGCTCAGAGATAAAAAGCAACAGACTATCGATACATGTGAAAAGACAGATGAACCTCAAAAGTCTAAGAAGCCGGACACACAAAAAATCAATTGTACAACTCATTTATATGAAATTTCTAGAAAAGGGCCTACTATGAAGACATGGAGCAGATCTGTGTTTTCCTGGGGCCGGGCGTGGGAGGGAACAGTGACTGTCAGTGGGCACGAGGGGAATGTTTAGGGTGATGACAATGTTCTAAAATTGGACGGTGGTGATGACTGCATAACTTTAAATTTACTAAAATTCATCGAACTATACTCTCACAATGAATTTTATAGTATGTAAGTGACACCTCACTAAAGCTGTTAAAAAATGTCTCTTTAGGATGGTTTCTTAGGCATAGAACCTTCATTTCAAAAACGAGGTATTTTATTTCTGGCAACAATTTCCTTCCTTGTTACTTGCAATGATCTTGTCTCTACTGTAAATCGTTTAGCAAGGTGGCCATTATTTTCAGACGTGCCATTGGATGGACTGGTAGAAACACCATAGCATATATCTGACAGTTTACAATTCAGCTTTGTAAATCTTTTCAGGATTTAGAGTAACGTGTTTCATGAGCCGAATGATGAGGTAGCCATCTTTTCTGAGCTCCTCTCCCAGACACGCTGGGCAGAAGGCTGTCCAGCTGGCTAAGGGGGAGGCCTGGACGCTCACACTACGAGATGCCCAGTCATTCTCTCTGCTGCATATCAGGGACTGTACCACGCTGCTCTTTATGCTATTTGCCAACAACTGCCTCACTTTACAATTCTTCAGCTCAAGTCACTTCACAGAAACCAAAAAAAAATCTCACTTGCTAAAAAAAATATTTCTTAAAAAATCCGTACCCAAAATGAAACGACTGTAGGCTATTGGAGGTTCTTAGAGCTAAATGCATAGTCACTGGGCTGAATTGAACAAAAGAATAAACTATTTCATAGTAAAAAATATTAAAAGTATTAGAAGAGTTTTAGGTCGAGGCATTGGATTTTCTTAGGCCATGCCATCCTTGACAGCAAATTGGTTCTTAAAGGTGAAGAAAAATCTGCTACGAGGTAGAGAGGGAGGGTTTCTCTTAAATGCAGAGAGAGTGCCCACTGACTTCCACAAGCACAGAGCAGGCTGGGAGAGTGGATGCTGAGCCCGAAGAACAAGATGCCACATCCAGAGAGAGGCTTCGCATTTGGCAGACACTCATCTGTGATAGTCTTAAGGGTCAACTTGGCTAGGCTGTAGTACTCAGTTATTTAACTAAACATGAATTGAGGTGTTGCTGTGGGGCTGTTATATAGATGTGATTAACATCTACGATCAGTTGACTTTAAGATGCTCACCCCCAACAGGGTGGGTGGGTCTTATCCAATCAGTTGAAGGCTTTAATGGCAAAATCCGAGGTTTCCCAAAGAAATTCAGCTTCCAGATTGCAGCATCAGCTCCTGAGTTTCCAGACTGAAGGCCTGCCCTACGCATTCCCAGCCCTACAACTGCATAGCCAATTATTTAAAGTAAATCTCTTACTATATATGTATGTAGATAGATATCCTATTGGTCCTATTTCTCCGGGGAACCCAGACTAATGCACCATCTTTTAAACATCAGGGTGCAAGATGTAAAATCAGCATAATGAGGGAAGATAGGATAAGTAAAGGTTAAAGTGAGACATGAATTTGTTACTGAGTCTCAAACAGAAAATTCAATTCTTTGCCCAAAAAGCAAGCAGCTACAGCTCCATCGTGTCCCCCTACCTTTGTCCCAGCTCTTTTGGAATAGCCTACGACATTGCCTTCCTTGTCCATGACCTCGATCCCCCGCACAGGCTCAAAACTCCGGGATGCGACAGCATTTATCCCACTGACTTGGGCTGTGGATATGAAGAAGGGAACACACAGAGACGGTTTCAGTCCAGCGAAAGAAAACCTTTTCTGGTGCCAAGACTTTCTCGGATGGCTGTGCTTCTCCGACCCTCAGTGGTCACCTGACACATGCTAGGCCAACCGAGCTCTCTCCTAGGGCTGTGGAGCTGAGTTGGAACTGCCAGCCTCTCGGCCTTGGATCTTGACTATGACCTGGCACCAGGTTCTAGCACCCCTGGAAGTCTAGCCTGGCTCCCTGACAGGCTTCCAGGAGGAACCCCGGGGGTCCCTGAAACATGCCCCCACTTCTTTGCTTAAGCTGGATTGACCAGGTTTCTGTAATATAATTTCCCAAATGTTACCACTGACATTCTGCCAACTCTTCAAAGTTCTATGATTCCCAAACCCAAATTAGGAGTGTGAATTTGCAGGCTGGCAAACTTAAAATAGTTGGTTAATATCTCTGTCACTCTCTTGGGGTCAGACCACCAGGATGGAAGCCCTTACACCACTACTTCTTACTGTGCGACCCTAGGAAAGTTACTTAACCACCCCCACCTCAGTGTCCCCTTAAATGGGAATAATAATATTACCTACCTATAAATGGTCAGGATTAAGCAAAACAATACATGTAGAAAGCTTGTACAGATCGTCTTTAAAGTGTAATTCCTGTCTCCAGGTTTGTGTTCGTCCTTTGACAACCAAAGGGGTATCTACAGAGAGAGTGTCACCTCTCAAACCACAGCCCTAATTTGGGTCTGGAGCCATGGGTCAGCTGAACGTGGTGGCTATCATTAGCCACAGTGTGGCCAAAGGACCTGGGTGTCCCCAAAGATGTGAGAAAGGCTCAAACCACAAAGACTGCATGCTTCCTGCTTACCAAGAATGATGACAGGCAAGGTTTTTCTTATCAAAATGTTTTTCAGGGCGAACTTGATTTGGAGTAAACGAGGGACTATCTAGAAAACAGAAAAATTATTATTGCATGGGACCAGGAAGTCAGCTGAACACACTCGACAGCAGAGAACTAGCACCAAACTAGTTCCTATTATAGGTCGCTGCCAGAGCTTGCCATGTTTTGTTTTTTTGTTTTTGTTTTTTTTGTGTGTGTGCAGCATTGAGATGTTCTGATCATCAGGGGAATACATGGAGGCTTCAAGAAGTGACATAACTTGTCCAGAGTCACTGAGCTATTAAGGAATTGAGCCAGGTGACAAACCCAAGCTTACCATCACAATATCCTGACATCCAGAGCAATATACAATTTGTATAACATGTTTATGGAGCATAAATTAATTTTTAAAAACGATAACAGTACTGAGCAAATGCCTAGAAACCTGGAATAGTCATATGATTATCTGGGGGTGACAGGACTACAGGTGACTTATTTTCTTCTTTATGTCTTAGTCAGACTTTCTAAATTGTTTAAGTTGGAACAGAGATTTGTAATCAGAATAAACGTTTGTTTTTTTTGTTTTTTGTTTTAATTTTGAGGAACAAAAAAAGATTGGACAGAAATTTAAAATACCTACTCCAAAAAACGTTGTAGAAACGATTGCTCCGGCCCCTAGTAACACAGTCTCATACGGGTGACGATTCTAGGGAAAATCAAAAGCACGTAGTTAGCAAATACCACAGTTTTACCCAGTAAAGATAATCAAAACAAAGAATAACTCCTAAGGGAATAACAAAACTGCAGCTCTCTGGGCCTCGTAAAACTCACATAACTCGCGTTTCCGTTGATGATGTTGAAAGCGGTATTGTAGGTATAGAAGGACAGCTGCGGAAGGACGGAGGCAAATAGATCACATTCTGGTTTCGAGAACAGAATTTAGTAATCGTGAAATAGAAATAATTCCTACCTGAGGTAAAATCATTGACTTTAGACTTTTTACTGACACCAGCGACAAAAATACCTTAAAAAAAAAAAAAAAGCAAAGTTATAGTGTTTGTGGGGGGAAGGTGGGCTAGTAGGAACAAGAACTGTCATCCTTCCCAGGGGAAATGTGGAACTGAGCTGGGACAAGGAGAGGAAGGTGCCGATGCAGGCAGCTACGGGATAGTGGACAAGGAAGACTGAATGGGCACCAACTGGGCACCGAAGACAACCAGGAGCCTCATGGCAGTCCTTGTCCCTGAGACCCGCAACTGTGCAGGGCAGCTGAGAAGGCCATACTTGCAAGGGGACGCAGACCAGGGCAGGTGTGAAGTGAGGAAGGGCTCGGCTGGGACCCCTCACAGCATCCCTGGTTTCACTTTTCCTTGCCCTATAGCTTAACAAAATAGATTGTCCGCTGCGACTTGACCCGGAGCTTGGAACGTCCACTGACATAGAAAGTTGCCCTGACACTTACGATGAATGCCCTCATGCACAATGTTTATGGTCTAGCATTCTTTCCAAACTACTCCCATCTTTGTCCCTGGGTTGCTAACACCACCAGAGGACCACGCTGCCAGAGCGATGGTTCCGTGAAGCACAGCAGACCCCCCGGAACCGTCACGTAACCCCTGGAATAATGCCCCGATTTCCCCTTAAGTCCCCTAAGCCAGACCGAGAAAGGAAGGCAGTTTTTGCACACGTTAGCCTGCTGCCTTCTCAGATCTCCGGTGCTCTGACAATAAACGCTTATTCTGAATCTCTCAACTCCTGTGTTGGTCTGTTGGCTGAGCGGCACAGGCAGCACGCAGTTGACCTCCAGTTAAAGAAGTGACAGAGGAGATGCTGTCACTTTGGGTGAACACCTCCTGAGAGCCAAGGCAGGCGGCCTGTTTGGGGGCAATTCCAGGTCTTGGTGAGGGCATGCACCGGGGCAAGGGCTTGGGGAGAGAAAGTCAAGGACAATTGTGTGGGCCTGTGGCAGGAAGCACATCTTAACTCATAGATCTCCTTCCATAGGGCTTTGCACACACTAGGAGGTCAAAGAAAGGATTACCTTGTGACACCATGGATGCTGACTGGATAAGCGGGCGTGGGGTGGGGCTACATGAACAGATAAGGGTCAGAGGTAGGAGATCCATAAACACCTATCAGGCAGTCACGGGACAGGGGTCCAGCACTGGAGAACACAAGCCCCCAAGGTCAGGAGATGGGTGGACATCTTCCCCAACCCCCACTCACACAGTGGCAAGGGGCAGCTCACTCACCATGGGTGCCGTGAAAGGCAGGAGAGCTGGCAAAGAAGAGAAGAGCTGGTCAGTGACTACAAAGAGGCCAGATGAAGGCACTGCCCGCTGGACAACCCGCTTCCCCGCCTCCTCAAGGCACAGATGTCAACGATGGTTTTTACTCATTTTTATTTTTTTAATACAAATAATAACTATGCGCCTATGGCAAAAATTTAAATCCGCACAGTATAGACAGATCGAACCATGCTCGCTAGGCCCTCTTGCTGAAGGTAGTGTTAACTGGACCCTGTTCATCCTGCCACAAGGATTTAATACATCTGGATACCGTGATTTATAAGAAATTTGTATTTGCTCTCATTTCCCGTTCCAAACACAAAGAAACTAAAACCCTTAGAATTTCCTGTGAGATTTTAATAAAAGTAAGAGGAGTGTCTTTTGTAATTCATACCACGCCCCTCAACCACACCTGAGCTTATTATGTTAATAAGGTGACTTTTAGAAAGCCCCTAAGGCTGGGGTTGGTTTCCAGGGCAACTAACCAGGTGAACTAACCACCTTTTGGCCCCACACCCCCAACCTCCACTTCTAGGGAGAAAAGAGGGGCTGGAGGTTGGGCTAATCACCAACGGCCAACGATTTAACCAACCAGGCCTACTTAACGAAGCCTCCATTTAAAATGCTGACTGAGCAGGTTTGGGAGCTTCATGGTTGGTGAGCACACGAGGTTGCTGGTAGGGTGGCATATGATAGCTTCTCACCCTTTCCCCCATACCTTGCCCTAGTGCTTCGTCTGGCTGTTCCTGAGTTATACACTTCTATAATAAACTCGTAGTCTAGTAAATAAGCTGTTTTCCTGAGTTTTGTAAGCTATTCTCGCAATTTCAAACCTAAGGATGAGGTCGTGAGAACTGATTTATAGCAGGTTGGTCAGAAGCACAGGTGACAACCTGGACTTTGAATTGGCATCTGACGGGCAGGGGCAGTCTTGTGGGACTGAGCCCTTAACTTGTGGGATCTGACACTAATGCCAGGTAGACAGTGGTGGAATAGAGTTAAGATTGTAGGACACCCAGCTAGTGTGAGGATTGATGGATGTGGAAGAAGCTCGCACACATCTGGTGTCAGAAGCAAAGTACTGACAGTGTTGGGAAATGAGTGTTTTTCTTTCCCAAGATGTACCAGGAATAATGCAAATTTTTACACTTTTAAACACACAGCACTTATCTATACAAACAGGTTCACTATACACTGTTTCATACTTTTTTCTCCTTAATACTAGTTTCTGGAGATCTATTCATCCATATTAGCATGTAGGATTTACCTCATTCTTTTTAATGAATTATTTAACTACAGTCTGAATCGTTGGCTATCTATATTGTTTTCAGTTTCCTGTGTACGATATAGATACGATATAGAAAGAACTGTAGAAGTGGAAAGACCCTACACAATTACAGATTTTATTCCCCTCACTGTAGTTATGAAAGAGAGAACACCAAATGGGATCCCTAATACTGGCACTTAACGAACCATCGGTGATAATCTGGTTATGTACTTTAGGGCATGATGGAGCAGGCCTGTTCTCTCTTTCCACAGGACTGGATGCAGCTCTGGGGCCCAAACCTGCTCTTCTCCACTATCGACCCCAGACTCTTCAAACGTTCTTTTTAAGCTATGGTTTCCAGACTCATTGTCAGAAATCCTTCTAGGGAAAAAAAGCAATTAAAATAAGGCAGGTAGAGTTTTCTCTTATAAACCACATCTTCCCAAACCACTTCTGAAAAATTAGAATCAGCTTACCCGCAGGTCGGAAAAGAACGGGGATCAGTTTGCTGTTGTCAGGGTGCACTGTTGACTTTAAAAGCATAAGCACAAAGGTCGGTTGGATGTTTGGTTTCGTTAGTTTAGGAGGCTAAAAATTAGGAAGGGGCTGAAACTTACAAGACTTCTCTTCCAAGCTTCTTGGATCTAAAAAGAGAAAAAACAAGCAATAGTTTTTAAAGATGGCTTGGCAGCAAACAAATCTCTCCTGCCTCATTCCTAATGCTACCTTCCAGAGAGTAAAGGGCGGAACTGTTCAAGACCACATGGACAGAGCACATCAAAATAAATGAACCAAACAGTCGAAGGAATAAAAGAACTAACAGGCAAAGAGATGATTCATATAAAGAAAAGGACCAAAACATTAAAAGGCCTTAAGTGTCTGACCTTGGAAGAGACTCAAGGCCAACACCTAACTTATCACTCAGGTGAGTCACTGAGTCCAGCCTGGCTCAGGGCAGAGCAGGCTGTGTACAGAGGACACAGCACGCCATTAGCCAAGTCACCTGCAACAGAGCCCAGTTGTGAGCCCAGAGGCCTCAACAAGTTCTTAGAAAAACCAAGTTAAATCTGTGAGCTTTCCACAGGTGGCCTCATGACACTGATGTTTGTGGGCTCTGGAAAGCCCCATTCACTGCAAGGTAGGTAACAGATACTTGGTTTGCGTCTTTGCACAGGAATGGAACCCTGCCCTGGGTCTCTGCCTCTGATGGGAAATAGATTCCAACTTCCGAAGCCCGCCTTAATTCTGGAGTTCCCCATGAGGCTCCAGGAATTGGCTACGGAGAATCCCCACTAATGTCTGTTACCTATGAATCATAGGAACCCCGTGATTGTCCCCTTAATCCTAGTTCCTACTTCTAGTACCTAATACTAATCTGGTTTACGAGAAGGAATTCTAACTACACTTAAAACACTAATCCAGTTTGAAAAGCTGATCCCTTGGGCAGTGTTTTCGATGATAAGGTTCCACCGGATTTCAGACTATGCAGTGGAATCACCTGAAGGCAACCACACCAGCCTTGACAGGCACACCCAAGCACAGGCAGGCACTTACACTTTGGTCCTCCAAGTCATGAATAGATGCGTCTTCATTTGTTAACAGTAGTTGCCTTGATTTTTCTATTTTTTCCTACAATCAGATATAAAGAAATTCAGCCATGAGCTCATCACTGCTCAGATTTATCCACAGATTTAGGAATCACATGCTCGTCACATGACTTCAATGTGACGTGTAGCCAAGGCCCTCTACTCCCTGGGAATTTCCTTTAGGATCCATTGGGATGGTCCCATGTGTCATTCCAATTCGGACCTCCCGGCCCTGACTCCACTAATGCTGCCATTACGCCCTCCCATCTCCGCATCCCGTTCTTCTCTGATGTCAGCTGTCTCAGGGAATACCACCACCATCCGCCTGGCCGTGCAAGTCGGAAACCTGGAAGTCCCTCCTCTCTCACTCACCCCTCGTCTAATTGATCCAGTTTTTTTTTTTTCCACTTAATTTGAGGGGAAAAAAATTAAATACAGAAAATACAAAAAATAATTGCATACTCGTAATCCCCTCATCCAGAATAACTGTAAACGTCTCGTTATATTTGCTCCTAATGTTTTTTTCCAAAAGGACCATCACCCCCAGTCTCCGTTCCTACCCCATTCCATCAGAACTTGAACTATTACAAGTTCAAGGTATAAACTTCCAGTCCATTTTTTTATACTCTACGAAGATAAATATATCCATCTGATATGGGACATGACTTGTAAAATTATCTTTTAGCAGGAAATGATACGGGACGTCTTTGCAGAGTTGTTAATCTTTTTAGTAAACCTAGTTAAATCTTTTCTTTCCTCCTTTTTTTAGGAAAAAGACCCTTTCCTTCAAATTCTGATAACTGCCCCCAAACTGGTGACTCAGATCCTCTGGCTATTGATAAGGATCATCAGCCCATTGTTAGCAGAAATAGTATTAGGCCAGACAGGGCCTTAGAGTCTGAGACGGGAGGGGACTTTAGGCCAAAGGTCTTTTCCTTCTCTTTAAGAAATATATTAACCAAAGCTGTTTCCCTTTACTAGCTTAATAGGCAACCAATAATAGAAATTAATAGCTATATGACTTAAATAACAAGTTTGTATCTTCTTTTCCTTGTCTAGGAACTGAGGTGGCTGTGATGACAAAGGCAGAGCAGGAAAGAGCTCTGTGAAACCCCAATAGGCAGGGACTATGACTCTTCTCAGCGGGAAGCAGATACAGAAGAAGAGACCTCCTGTCCCTCCACATCCATACTAATAAGGGGGTTCGTGGCTCTTAGAAGTTAGGCAGGAAGTTAGAGGGTTTCAGGTCTGCCTGCAAAGACATTGAAGTCATCCTATCCTAGAAGGGGTCCGCCCTAATCCACCCACAATTGAGCAAGCCAGAAGGCATTTTTAGGCTAAAAGTAACTTCCACAAAGAAACAAGCAAGAGAATTAGGTACCAGTTTAAGTCAGTCACTTGCACCAGCGCAATGAAGACCCCAATGATCTTCGATTCACCCGAGCCTCATTATACCATCATTATAACATGCATGTGCCCAGAAGTTCATTAATATCATAACACTGAATTCTGGGAACGAACATGCACAGAAAGCAAATGATGAATCACTGTGTCCTGTCAATCTTAGCTGTCAATCAAGGAAGCCCACCCTTCTAAGAAAGGTAACCACCAACAGCAAATAGGAATAAAAACCCTGAAGGCTTTGTCACCAGGCCTTTGAGCCACGCTTCTCTTGCTCAGGCCTGCTTCCACGTCTGGAAGTGTACTTTCCCTTCTAATAAAGCTTTTCTCTTCTGCTATATTTTGGTAACTTGCTCAATTCTTTGTTTGAGACATCAAGAGCCTGGACAATGCGCCGGGAGTCGATCCCCGCTCTCCGGTAACATATCCATAAACAAATATGCAGTATTGCTTTTTTCAGGTTGTAATTTGCATAAATATTGTATGCATCTTGCTTTTTCACTAAATATCACAGATATCATGTTCTTCCATTTAACATCATATATATTTTGTTTCTACTTAACAGCATTTGTTGGTAACTAGATCATCACTTAAAAGCTAATCAATATTCCACAGTATGAATATACCATATTATATTTTTCTACCAATGGACATTCAGGTTGTTTCTTGTTTATTATAAACGAGGCTGAATGAAACATCTTGAGCACAAGGATGGGAGTGTCCCTTTGGGTCTGGCCCTAAAGGGTCATCCCTGGTGACAGAACATTTCCTTTATATCTCTCAGCCACAGCTGGTTCGAGCCCTCATCTTTCACTTAGAAGCTGAGCCCTCCCCTGAACAGACTGCCTTGTCTACAGTCTCGTCCCCTATGGTTACTCACCATACTGACCGAAGGGACCCTCAGAAACCCAAACCTTGCCCTGTAGGCTAAGTGCAAACTCCTCTCATCTGAATGACACACAAGGCCCTTCAAGAACTGCCTGGTTCCCCTGCATAAAAAGCCCCTGAGACTGGGTGACCTGCTCTCCTCCCCTAGGTTTGCTTACAGTCTCCTCTGCCTCTCAGCCTTCCTTCAACACCCTCCCTCAATTCCCAGCTACACCGCGCCCTTCGATCGCTAGGCGAAGGTCTGTCACTAGCATTGTCAGTCTGTCCTCCAATACCAGGGAGGTTTGTTTTAATCCCCTCTGAACTGCCAGCACCTGGCCCAGGGCTTGGTATTACCTGTTAAGTGGAGGTCTGCTTTTAGGTATTATCCTTCCAATCTAACAAGCTCATTGAGAAGGAATAAAAACATGAAAATATATGTGGATTCTGTTATTTCAACCGCTTTCAAAAGGGACACAATCTTCACATTTCAGAATAAAATGTGAAATTCATTATCTCAGAAAACGAGAAAATACTTACAATCGAAATGACCAAATTTGTAGGATCCAATAACTCTGTCCACTGAAGAAATCTCTGAATAAAAGACTTAAGAGGGGAAAAGCACCAGAGAGGTTCATGGCAGCAAAAGAACAAAGATATGGTAATAACAGTTAACATTATTTTTGAGAACCTGATAGCGCCATCTACCTGCAGCATCTCCTGGATTGCTTACAACATCCCATCCTACAGGTGAGGCAGCTGAGGCTTAGAAGGGCTCATGAACATACTCAAGGGGGAGTCCAGGCAGTAAGACAGTAGCCCGTGCTCTTAAACACTCCAATGTCAAATCGCTCTTGAGGATTAAAACCCCAGACTTTGGGTCAAATGGACCTACGTTCATATCCCATATATGACCTTGAATCAACTACCTAGAAAGGTCTCAGAATCTGGTTCTTCACTCTGTTGTTGTAAGGCTTAACTTTAGTCAGAAAAAACCTACGCCCCAGCAAGGCCTCAATAAAGGCAGCTCGGGTGACATGTGTAAAAAGGAAGCATGGTTTGCTCCAAAAAGCCGCCGAACTTTGTAGTGGTTCCAGCTCTGAGTCATGGCTCTGCTGGGACAACTTGGGCTCCCTGTCCCTTCTCTACTTCTCTACCTAATAAAACCCAGGCTGGGCCATACTTTAGGTAAGGACTGAAAGAGAACATTCTACAATTGTGCTCTCCGATTAGCCACATGTAGCTATGGAGCCCTTGATATGTGGCCAGACCAAATGAAGACGTGCTGTATGAGTAAAACATACACCGGATTTCTAAGGCTTAATACAAAAAATAATGTAAAATATCTCACTAATAATTTTAATGCTTATTACATGTTGAAATGTTAATATTTTGTATTTACTGGGATAAATACAATATATTATTCATATTAATTTCACCTTTTTGCTTTTTTTTTTTTAGGCGAGGCAACCCTTGGTTGACCTCACAGATTGCAAGGACCTTATCAGCTTACAATCCCTTATTTTATTTTTTACACCTACAGCACCTAGTATTCCTAGGTGGTCTCCCATTACAAGTACTAACCACGCCCGACCTTGCTTAGCTTCCGAGATCAGACGGGATCGGGCTTGTTCAGGGTAGCATGGCCTTGGACTCTTTTTGCCTTTTTTAATGTGGCTACTAAAAAATTTTAAATGCTCTATAAGGCTCCCGTCATATTTCTATTGGACAGCACCACCCCAGGCGGCGTGGAGGCGGAGCCTGTCACGTGTGCCAGGTGGGGCACAAACTCACTGTGAGCGGCCGAGTCTACGGAGGTTGGGAGGCTGGGGACTCCCGGGAGGACCTGTTCCTCTCCAATCTGATGCAACCTGATGCTCAGCAAGAGCTTAGGCAGCAGAGGGCCTATGAGGGGAGACTGACTGCTCATTTAGGGGGATCTGTAGGGTGACTTTATGGCGACCCTCCCTAGCCGGGCCTGGAGTAGAAGTGACGCACGGGTTACAGCCGTGGCCGTCGGCATCCGGCAAGCATGGGTGTTCCCTCGGTCTCCTCCCGGGGTCTGAGGTCGGAAGGTGGATGGTGCGACCACGTGGCCTCAAAGTCCAAGGTCACCCGGGCCAGCTGGCGACTCTAGGTGTCGCGCCCCTTGCCCTCCCCACTGCCTCCAGCCGAGCGGGTCGCGAGCCGTACTTGGCGTTCGGTGATCCAGAAGCGCACGTTGGGCTCCATGCGGGCGGCAGCGCCACTGCACCCTGGGAGCTGCGCGGCTCCTGCGTTTCCTCTTCCTCCTGCTCCTCTTCCTGGGACTTACGTGATGGTTGGGGAGGCGGCTGCCGGCAGGCCAGGCGCGGAGGAGGAGCCGGGCGGCGTGCCCCGCCCCCGGCGCGCGCGCGCCCTCTGTGCCGGGTCCCCAAGCCCGCGCGCTCGCTGCTCTGTGTCACCACGCGCCAGCAGCCGGGAACCCCTCTCTCCCGGGTTCCCGCATGTTACCATCTGCCAGCTCCTGGGTTCCCGCGCACCTGCTGCTCAGTGTCACCACCTTCCAAGCCCCCAGATCCCACGTCTCTACCCCCACTGGTCCTGTGAGCCCTGCTCTCCCACAGACCGAGTCATTTCAACCCTGCTCCACCCCTTAGGGTAGCGAGGCCGCTCCCAGGCCTGGAGGAGTCACCTACGGGAACCCCCGTACCACAGCACCTACCTAAGCTTTTGGACATTACCCTTGAAAGTCCGTTCAGTCGCCCCTTAAGTCCAGTGTACAGGTATTGGAGACAGTCAGGACCGGCTACGTAATTTTCGTGGCCCAACGAAAATCGAAAATGTGGCGCCCCATTTTAAAAAATTGAGAAAGTCGACATCAGAGCGTTAAACCCAGCCCGGGGCTCTGCCACAAGCCAACCGTGAAGCCCACCCTGGTACAGACGAC